TAAGAAACGCTATGAGGCTCTCGGAGAAACTAATACCATTTCTCCTCTGCCTAGGGAGAGGCTAGAAATATGTGGGGAGCTGGGCAGGCAGGGGTCGAGGTAGGCACCTTCTCACGGTATGCTTTTTATAATATTTGGTTTTGGATCATGTGAACAAATAACCTATTTGAAAACTAAATAAATTAAAATGTAAAAAATTTTTTCTCTACATTTTTAAGTAGCCAGAAGTTTTTGTTCTCGTGTATATCATGGTTTGAGAAGTTCTCCAATTACTTTATAACAATTTGCGCACAAAATCCTAAAGGAAAGATGACTGAAGAAATTGTTTTGGAAAACTTCAAAAGATTCATGTTGGTTTTTTTCTTTGCGTTTGGGGACTTCCTGTATCCTTCAGTTGTCAGAGATCCAGGGAGAGGCAATTAATCCATTAGGTTTTCCTACTGAGCAGGATACAAGTACTGTCCTACTCTCTGAAACTTAACACACTTGTTTTTACCTTGAGAGTAAGAATGAGTCTTTAAATGTAGTTTTTATAAGGTGACAAAATTTGACACTGTACTAATTCTTTGGCTTTTAAACTTAATCCTTTTGTAAAAATAACTTCTGTAGTCAATATGTATGATTCCTTTTCTAACGTTCCTTATTACCTGGCCCTAAGACTGTAAAAATACCTGTTGAAAGAAATGAGGAGTTAAGGCATCTTACTGAATTTAGAAGGCTGTGGAATGTGAGGAATTGGAGTCAATTCATATTAAGCAAATAATACAGATACTAAGGTGTCCTTATCTCAAGCACAGGATGAGAGGAGAGGGGTGAAAAAATGCTATGGGCATTTCTTTGACTCCACAGAGCTTTGCTCAAAGAAACTGTCTTGGTTTTTTTGCACGAAAGTATTTAATGTACTAGAGACTCGAGTCAGAAATATACTTTTAACTTGGACTTGATGATGCTTAAAATGCTGGAAAATGTCTTTTGAAATAATTGAAAATGATAATTTCACTAGTTATGTCTACTTTGTCAATCTGTGTGGGCCGATTTCTAGGTTCTCTGTTTACGATTTCTAGATTACTCTGTCTATCCCTCTGATCTTGATTATGAAATCAGAATTTACAATAAGAGTTTGCTGTGCTGTGTCTGCCCCTGTGGGATTTCAGAACATTTAGGTTAGTTGAAATAATGTGTAGTCGCAGGGAGAGGCCACAGATTAGGTTCAGGCCTGCCTTTCTCCTAATTGTCAGTTAATATCATGGCAAAGATTGGTCAGTTGGGTGTGTGACACTAAAAGGTGTGGCAGGGAGGCAGGGATGCAGAGTTTGATAGGATTAGGGCCCTTGGGGAGGTGGGAGGAAGTGGTAAGGTACTAAAAGCAATCTCTCACTTTGGCCTGTAGCAGTTCAAATTCGGCCAGCCATATTTTGCAATTCCTTATTTATCGATGCTTGCTACATATTAAAATTGGAATTCTTTTCCTGAGCACCACCAAAATTGAATTTGATTAACTACTCCCAACTTCTAAATATACCTTAGGGCCAAAAACAAAAAAAATTTCTCTTGATAAGCTTTTCAATTAAACATAAACATCCCTAGTAACAGTGATGTTATTTACTATAACTGGATATTTCATCCTGTTCATAATGCAATTTTTTTATAGATCTAGTGAAAACTTAGCAAACTTTTTATGACCAATCTACCAAGTTGGACTCATGTGTAAGTGCAGAATTATTTTCAGCAGATTGTTTTTCCATCTAAAAATTGGCTGTGCATTGAGATCTTTTGCAATGCAAGGAACACTGTCAACATAAAAACACTGGGTTTTCTAAAGCCCTTTTATAATAGATGGAATTATGGTTTTTGAAAAGTTAGTAAAATGGTGTGTTTGTCATCTTCTGATTGGAGTTTTTTGTGCAATTAAAAGCAGCCAGAAGCCTAGATGAATATCCAGGTAACAAAACTAAATTGTGCGTTTTGGCCACACCCCCTTCCCGAAAACTGCAGTTAGCTGGTGTGGCACTGGGAAGGGCGGACGCCAAGTATGAGGACTTCTTTAAGTGAGTTAGAAGCCATCTTTGGGCCTGGAACGTCTCTGGCCCTTCTTTTTATTTACCTCTTTGTCACTTTCCTGATGAAAAACAAGACCTCTTTATGGAAAACTCAAAGAATCTGTGTCACAGAGGGCCAGTAATAGGAAAACTGAGGGTGACTGGGGGAACCAAACCATGTTCTCAAGTCAGCCGAGAGCCTGCTGTGTTTTTCCCTGTGCCTTTAAGCATGCTGCTAGCTACAAATAATCGCTCTCTCGAAGAGGGTTTTGTTTCCTTGCATCCAGCCTGGGAGCACACATAATCTCTAATATGTATGAAGCTAGTGTAGGGATCCACACCGAAGCCAGAGTTTTCTCTCTTGTCTGTCCTCATCTAGGCTGATTCTGAAGTTTGATAGACAGGCAGAATGTTAGAAACAGATCACAGGTTTATCTTTTTAGGTTCCAGGTAGTAGAGTATAGATTACTGTGGTAGAAGTTTAAAAAAAAAAAGAAGCCACACTCTTTCACTTTGAGAGCTGAGCTCATAGAGCAGAAAGGTCCAGTATTGGGCCAAGTGCTTTTTAGTCATTGTCTGAGTTCCTCTTCCTCTAAAGCATCTTTAACTGGGATGCTTCCTTTCCCCCGCTACCGCCCCACTCCAACTTTTCAATACAGGGAGATAACTCTGGAACAGCCAAGCATATAAAATTAATTGGAAAGACACTAATCGCCTTGTCCCGGGCGGGTGGGGGTGGGGTGGAGAACAGTGTATAGACCCTGAACCACAGGTTTATTTTCTGGCAAGAGAATGGGACATGCGCTGCAGGAGAAAAAGAATATAGTGAATTATTTCAGTAGAGTGTTTCCCCAGAGATCCGTTAGGTGCCAGAGAGAGAGGAGTGAGGAATGTTGCACCCAGTTCATTATCCAAATTTGTTGTTCCCGTGAAGCAGAGCTTGTTCTATTTGAGAAGCTCTGTGTCCTCGTCTCTGGTCACCGAGACCTGGGAACAGTTAGCATACGAGATTCCTCAAGGTTAAGATGACGGTTAAGGTAGATGGATGAAGCGAAATGTGTCTCCATTTTTCATTATCTGATAAGGCTAGCAGTGTGGCTAAGGCGGTGTGTAAGTACTGTGTGCATCCTTTCAAACGTTCTCACTTGAGCTATTTGAATATATGAGACAGGAAGAGTTATTGCTTTCATTCTGCTTTGGTAGTAACATTGTGTGTGGGAGTGCCAACTGGGAAAAATTACTTGGGAAGCTAGCGGAGCCCCGAGTGTGCCTTGGGGAAGAGGTGACACCTACATTATTTGTCATTGGACCATTATACACCAAACAGCTGAGGTGCCGACTCCAAATCAGCTACTTAGTTTTCCTAAGGGACTGAGTGCCACTCCGTCAGCTGCCAAACAAGGATGAAAAAAAATCTAAAATATGAAAATAAATGTATTCTCAAATTAAGTAAGTTGTCTTCAAAACAGCCTTGCATGAGCTTAACGCTAAACAAAGCACGAGGCTTTGGAAGCTCCAAGGAGTATTGACCTTAGAGTTCAGCCACCTGATTGTCACATCCCCTGTCCACAGAGCTGCAGCTTCCCAGACTGATAAATCCATTTAAATGCAGAAAGCATTAATGAAACATTAAACTATGTAAATCAGTGTGTGATTCATAGGAACACAAATGCCCCTGCAGTGAAGTATTTCAGAATTCATGGTTTCCCAAATCTTCTTCTCCTGTCTATTTTGTTTCCTTGCTTCCTAATGCTAAACACCATACTATTTAAAAAAAAAAAAATCAAGTGCTGAGAGAGTTCCTAGGGCAAAGTGTTCTCTAAGGTAAACAGGATCCAGATCACTTAGAGCTTATTGATTTTATGATCAGTACGTAGGTTGCTGTTAAAAGCAGATAGGTTTCCAATATATATCTGAAACCTAAGAGGCCTTTCCACCTCCATCCATCTTGTGGAGCAGTGAAGAACTCGCTTTGCAGGCAATTACTAATGAAAACTCACGTTAATTGTTACGGTCACTCATTTGTGCAGTACTAGCTTAAACTAATATAAAATACCATTATTTACCTCGAGTGAGCAAGAAGTCAGAGTGGTTAACAGAGGATCAAATGGAAACTTAAAGCGTTTGAAAGATTTGCGTCTCATCTCCATGGTTTTTGTACTTGTAACATTTGGTTGGGGTTTCTTTCTTTTCAAGATGGGACTGATGTTACAAGTGCTTTGATGGTATCATCATTTTTAAGGCTCACCACAGGTTTTAGAATGGTAAATTAGTCAGTCACCTAGCTGGCATTATTCTGGTATTATGCAATGAAACCTCTTTAATGGGAATTTACAAAATAAGTTGAGAGTACAATAAAGCTTGTTAATTCAGACTTCCATTATCGGGGACTTGTGATTCCTTGGTTTGGACTTAACTGGAACTTATCTTTAATGTCTATTAAAATGAGAAACGTGGTAATATAGTGTTCTAGAATTTTTCCTTTCATGAATGATACGTGAACGGATTGAAAGATATACCCCTGGAGAGGAGAGAAGAGGCACCTGACACCACTAGAGTTGTTCCTGGGTTTCAATTGAGGATCTGAAGTGAAGAAGGGTTATCTTCAGGCAGACACAGCCCAAGAAGCAGAGTGCAGGGAGGATTTCAGAAGGAATGTGTTAATATATCTGTATTTGGTGGGAAGCACCATGATGTAGTATGAAGAATGTTAGGATGGAACTGAGGAGACCATCAGTGGTAAACTGGAGGGAAATCCAAATGTGAAGTGTTATTATTATTATTAGGGAAATTGATAATATAAAGATTAAAAAGTATAAGAGGAAAAGTACTTATGTAATCAAATTGATCATGTTCTATAAAGGGAAGAATGCTTTAGTAGTGTATAACAGTCTTAAGTGTCTTTAGTTATTTTGTTAGATGATTGATTTGGATCAAAATTTCCAATTTTGTCCTTCATAGGGTCGATGGGAAAGTCAGCAGGATGTATCTCAAACTGAAGTTTCTAGAGGAGCAGCGCCCTTGGCCCCATCCCTCCCTGGTTGTCCCCAAAATAACAATTCTCCTGATCCAGGTAACTTATATTTTCATTTGTCAATCACTGTCATGAAATTTGAGCAGCTTTCAGAAATAGTTTTAATCAGGATTTCCTACCAGGTAACCACTGTCCCACTAGTTAAAGCCCATCTGAGTTTCCCCCTTTCTTGTCTTAACATGTTGAGTTATATTGATTTTTGAATGTTGAATCTGTCTTGCATTCTTGTGATAATTCCCCCTTGATCATGATGAGTTATACTTTGTATTTACTTGATTCCATTTGCTGATATTTTGTTAAGGATTTTTGTGTATATGTTCTATGATGAATATCTATCTGTACTTTTCTCACAGAAATGACTTAAGTTTTGGGATCATGATTATATTGGCCTCATAAAATGACTTGGGAAATTTTTTGTTATCTTTTTTTTTTTTTTCCTGAAAAGGTTTATGTAAGCGTGGTATTACGTCTTTCTTCAATGTTTGACAGGATTCACCAATGACACTGTCTGGGCCTGGAATATTCTCTGTGGGAAGATTTTAAATGATGACTTCAGTTTCTTTAATGTAGGGTTACTTAACTTTTTGTATTTCCTTATGAAGCAGTTTTTGTAAGTTATGTTTTTCAGGGAATTTTCTATTTCATCTATATTACTACATTTATTTTAATAAATCTTTACAGTGTTCCTTCATGCCCTTTTAATAGGATCTGTTTTGATATTCCTTCTTTTTATTCTAATATAGATAATTTTTGTTTTCTTTTTGTGTTCCTTGAATACGTTTGAGACAGGTTTATCAGTTTGCATAGTCTTCTCACAGAACCAACATTTGGTTTTATTTCCCCTGTCATTGATTTCGGTTATTTCTTTCTGCATTTCACATTTTTGGCATGTTGTGCTTTCATTATCATTATAATCAACATATTTTCTGATGTCTCTCTGATTTATTCTGTGAGCCATGGGTTATTTTGCGTGTTAATTCATTTTCATATATGTGTGTGGGGAGTTTTATTAATTTTATAATTTAATTTCATTATGATCAGAAAAGAGACTTTTTAAGTCCTTTTGAAATTTTTCGAGACTGTGCTATATTTTGGTGAACATTCTGTGTGCACTGAAAAGAATGTCTGTTCTGTTTTGGCACATAGTATTCTGGATATATCAATTAGGTCAAGGTAGTTGATAACCTTGTTCGAATCTTCAGTGTCCTTACTGATTTTTTTTCCCCCCGATTCTAACAATCACTGCAGTGGGCATTGAATCTCCAAATATGACTGAAAATTGTCTATTTTTCCCTTTATATCAGTTTTTGCATCATTCACTTAGAAACTCTGTTATTAGGTATACAGAGGGTGCCAAAAAATGTATACACATTTTAAGAAACAGAAAAAACTGTATTAAAGTTGAAATAATATATACCGATAAAAAAGATGAATACAAATCATGTATATACATTTTTTTGGCACCCCCGGTATATACATTTAGGATTGTTATTTTTTCCTGATTCAGTGATATTTCTCATAATGAAATGTCCCTTTATAGCTCTGGTATACTCTGAAATATGTCTAGCTTGATATTATTACAGCCACATCAACTGTTTTTCACTTATTGTTTGCATGGTATATCTTTTTCTCAGTCTTTTAAATTTTATCCTATATTAGTCTTTAAATTGAAAGTGATTGTCTTGTATATAGCATATAGTAAGGGATAGCTTTTTAAAAAAAAATCTAGTCCGGCGATTTCCTTTTCATTGGCATGTTTAGTTCTTTTACATCTAATATTATTATTATGTCTGCCACGGTGCTGTTGGTTTCTGTTTGGCTTTCCTATTTTTTTTTTTTCTTTTCACTGTGACTTCTCTTTGCCTTCTTTTGGTTTAATTGAAAAGTATTTTTTAGTGTTTGATTTTATTTCCTCTTTTGGCTTTGGATATACATGCATTTGTTTGTTTACTTATTAAAGTCTTTTTTCAAGGACCATAGTTTGTATCCTTAACTTATCACAGTCTACAAATTAATATCACTTCCTACTGCACATATATAAGAGTCTTACAACAGTATAATTCCATTTACCTGTCCCCACACCCTCCCCTTATTTTGTATCATTGTATTTTTTACAGATGTTATGAATCCATTTTGCAGTATTACTCTTTTTGCTTTAAAACTGCCACTTTTAAGGAAATTAAGAGAGTATGGGTAATCTTTCCAATTTTCCTTCATATTTATTATTTCTGGCACTATCCAATCCTCCCTGAAGATCTTATATTCATCTGATACTCTCTCTCTTTCGCCAGAAGACTGTCCTGTACTGTCTCTTATTGTGCAGTTCTCCTGGAGAAGAATGCGCTCCCATTTGAGAATATCTTTTTTTCACCTTTTTCTTCTTGAAGGATATTTTCTCTAGATAGAGAATTCTGGGTTGATAGTTCGTTTCTTTTAGCACTTCAAAGATGTTACATTATTTTTTAGACTCTTTTTCTGTATTTAAATTTTTTTTTTTATTTTTTAAAGTTTATTGGGGTGACTGGTTAGTAAAGTTACATAGGTTTCAGGTTTACAATTCTGTAATACATCATCTATAGATCACGTTGTGTTCACCACCCAGAGTCAATTCTCCTTCCATCACCATGTATTTGATCCCTCATCTGCCCTCCCTCCCACCTTGCCCTCTGGTAACCACTAAACTATTGTCTGTGTCTATGAGGTTTTTTTTAAAATTTTTATTTGTTTGCCTTGCTTCTTTGTTGTTTTCGGTTTTATATCCCACACATCAGTGAAATTATATGGTTCTCTACTTTTTCTGTCTGACTTATTTTGCTTAGCATAATAATCTGAAGATCCATCCATGTAGTTGCAAATGGCACTATTCATCTTTTCTTATGGCAGAATAGTATTCCATTTATGCAATTGTCTATGAAGGACACTTTGATTGTTTCCATGTCATGGCCATGGCCATGAAGTAAATAAAGCTTCAGTGAACATCGGAGTACATACATCTTTATGGATAAATGTTTTCAGATTTTTTGGGTAGATACCCAGGAGAGGGATTGCTGTGTGGTGGTTCCTCAAAAAATTAAGAGTAGAATTACCATATGACCCAGCAATCCTTTTCCTCCTTTTCTGATGCGAATTCAGCCATCTGTTGCCTTTCCCCTACATGTAATGTGTCTGTGTTTACTTTGTTTGCATTCAAAATTTTCTCATTATTATTTTTATTATTATTTTTAGTAGTTGTACAATGATATGCTAAGGTATAGTTTTCTTAGTATTTATCTTGCTTGGGTTTCACTGATGTCCTTGCATCTGTCAGATGAGGTTTTTCAACAAATTTGGGAAATGTTCAGCTATTAGTTCATTAAATTTTTACTCACTCTCCTTTTAGCTTTCTAATCCTGAGAATCTAGAATCCAATTACACATATGTTGGATTGCTTAATATAGCCCAGATCACAGCTCTATTCTTTTTTAACTTTTATTTTTTTTATCTTATTCTTATTTCTTTTGGTTGGCTTATCCCCCCCTACCCCCCCCCCCCCCCCCAACATTTCTAGTCTTCTGTTCAACACACCCAGGGAATTTTTTATTTCTGTTATTGTTCTTTTCAGTTCTAGAATTTCTACCTCTTTTTTAATAGTTTTAATGTCTCTGCCGGTATTCCCTATCTGAATGTTTCTGAAGACCATAGTCTTCTTTATAAAAAAGAAGCTTCTTTAAAGTTTTTATCTGCTAACTCCAGCCCCAGGACCATCTCATGTTCTATGTCTGTTGACTGCTTTTATCTTGTCTGTGGGTCCTATTTAGTGAGTTTTGACAAATGTATTTACCAATGTAACTTACACCCCAGTCAAGATATAGAATATTTATGTGACTCCATTTACTCCACCCAGTCAACCAGTGTTCTGATTTCAGATTAGTTTTGCCTGTTTCACAATTTCATATAAACGAAATCATACAATATATATTCTTTTTGTGTTTGGCTTCTTTTGCTCAACATATCTGTTCAAGTGCATCCATGCTGCTGCATGCACCAGTAATTTATATTTTTATTGGTGAGAAATATTTCATTATCATAATTGAATTTATCACAGTTTTTAATCAGTTCTGTTATGGGCACTTGGTTTGTTTCCAGTTTTTGGCTACTATGAACAAAGCTTGTTCTTGTGTAAGTCTTTTTGTGAACTTTTTTTTTTTTCAAGTAAATACCTAAGAATGAAATTACTGGGCCATGGAGTACCACCTTGTTTTAGAATTCTGTAAATATGTTGTCTTTTTTTAAAACACACACACACACATATATATATATTTTTCAATGCTTACTTGAGTTACATACTTGTATTAACTACTTCGCTTTGATCATTATTGCTTCTTGTACCCCACACCATTCTTCTGAGTTTAGTTTCTTTTTTGGTGAATTATATCCATCATTAGTGCTTTTAGCAATCACCTTTTTGTGACAGACTCTGTATTTCTTTTATATGTTAAAGTTTTATTTTGCTCTCACTTTGAATCCTTTTGTTGAGGAGCAGGTCATTAACAAGAACTGAGACAAAGGGCTTTCATACCAAAGGCTTTATTTACCAAGCTTGGTGTCCATCTCCCTCAAAAGAGAAAAATGGCCCCAAGTCCTGGCGGGTGGGGAATTTATAGCTGAAGCTGGATACAGAAGCAAAAAAAAGCGGTTAGTGAGTAAAAAGAGAAAAAAATTTTAACAAACAGAGTTAACTTATCTTCTAGCTAGCCATAAAACTTGACAAATTTATTTTCTTCTGACGAACTATAAATCAGGACTTAATTACCTTTTCCTAACAACATACCT